ATTTTTGCTTTCCTATTCAGCCCTTTATTGATACACTTCCATGACACAATAAAGCAGTATCCACAGGACTTTTACTTCACGTGACCCTACCTAGAGATTTTGCTATTGTAACCCTCGAGGTTTTATTCTATTGTTATTTTGCATGCAATTTGTTTACTTAAATGCTCCCACATTATATTGTTCCAAGTTCTTAAATTGGAGAGACCTTACTTGGTTTCCTGGAACGAACTACACAAACTCTATACTAACAAGCAAAACCTTGCTTACCTTTTTAGTGGCCACTTGTTTGTGCAGCTCGTCCAAGCCTTCCACAGCCACAGGTTTTCACCATTCCTGGTCCCTTTTTAGCACTTCTGTTCGTGGCACCAAATTATGTCATGGAATATTCTCAAAAATAATTCCCAGACACCGGAGCTTGTGAGTTCAAGATAAACATTATTAGAAATGTAACAAACTGGGTTGGTCCATGGAGCAACTGCCTATCCCAACTCAGAAGTTTTCTTTTATACAATTTCATTCTTTTTAACATATACAGCTACTCCCTCTTGGCCTTGCACCACTATTGTCTCCAAGTCCTGGGCATACCTTTTGAGGTGGGGCTTCTCCTCCTTCTTATTCCTTTTATGCAAGTATATCGGTGGCGAAACCTCATTGGCTTTATTAATAAAAAACATATGTATATGTTGAGGTATACCACAAAATATGCATTCTTAACAAAGAACATATGTATATGTTGGAAGGAATACCATAAAGTATGATTGCCAAAGCATACATTTTTAGAGTATAAGGTATCTTATAGTTAGCTTATGTGTGTGCTTCTCAAAGATGATTATACAGTCCCTTTTAGACTCATACAGTATATTCTATATAAATTATATAATATATATATTCTATATGTTACTTTTCATGCTTCATAATATCATAATATGTGCGTCTAAAATCACCCATAATTGACATCACCTTCCAAAACATTTCCAATAGTAGAATACTTGTCCAAATACAGAATTTTACTCTTGTTGGTATGTTCTCTTTAGTTTAGTGGGCTTGCTTAACCGTTTCTGACAAATATTTTGTTTCAGTCAAGTATATTTTGCACTCACTTGAATGGATGGTTGCATTCGTTCTTAGAAAACTATGTTCCTGCAAAACATAGATACTTTTTGATGGCATGGTTGTGTTGTAGAGCAGAAATTATGTTTAGGAAAAGTGTTGTTTCAATGATATCTGCCGAATTTTGTTCTTCCATTTTTAACTGCACTGCATTGCTTCAAAAGGGATTTTTGCCTAAAGTGCACTAAGGCAAAACTTAAAATACCTTTCAAAATCTTACCTCTGTCATTGAATGCACATGCATATTATCAAATAAAGCCCAGATTCTTGGGGTTTTGCTGACTCTTACTGTACACTAGTTAAGCCTGAAAACACACTGATTGAGATCCAAATACAGAATTTTACTGGTTGGTACATTCTCTTTAGTTTGGTGGACTTGCTTAACCATTTCTGACAAATATTTTGTTTCAGTCAATTGAGTGGAAGGTTGCATTCATTCTTTGAGGTAATTCTGAGCCCTAACCCTATCCTTGCAAACCCATAGCTAGGGTTAGGGTTAGGATTCCTGCAAAACATAGATACTTTTTGATGGCATGGTTGGGTTTTAGGACAGAAAAGGAAGTTAGGAAATGTGATATGTTAATGTTATCTTCACTTTTTCTTCTTACCTATTTGGGTGTGTATACTGCATTGACCTACAATGCAATGTTGTCTATGTAGCCCTAAAAGAAAAAGATTCAAAGAAATCAATTATATGTTTCAAACTCTTGCATTTGGCATTGAATACACCAATATATTAACAAATAAAGCCAACAATTATGGGGTATAATGTTCATTGAGGACACAATTCAGCGTACATTTTTAATAACACAACACTTGTCAATAATAGAATTTCACAATTGTTGATGCACTCTCTTTGGTTGGTTGAGGTTGCTAAGTCATTTCAGGCTAATATTTGCATTCTGTGAAGTATATTTTCACCTAGATGAGTGAAGGACTGGGGTACATCTTTGAACAAAGTCTTAACCTTAATCCTAACCTACTTTAAGCCAAATCTAAAACTAGGTTTAGGGTTAGGATTCCCACAAAACATAAATAATTTTGGATGTCATGGCTGTGTTTAAGGACAGAAAAGGAATTTAGGAAATGAAGTCCAGGTGTCTGTGTAGCATCAGTCTCTTTATTTCGTATGCATATGGGAGAACGGCTTGCAACCACCAAACTCAAAAATAAGTGCTGGTAATTCTAATGTTTGTGAAAACATGGAAAACTGAGTTGGGGGAATCATATATAAATATAAAATCATAACATTAAAATGTAAAAACTCCCATTTTCCTCAGATTCAGCTTTAAAACAAAAAGCATACGTCTTCTGCATAAAGGTTGGTTGTGCTGATTAAATTAACTGCTTGAACTGCTCTAAAGCACACTAGAGTTTTGCACAGCAAGGTATAGCAGTGAAAGTGGTGTCAGTCAACTACTGCATTTGGAGAAGATGCATTAAAAATACTGATAATCCTGGTAAAGTACTCTAGACACTGCAGCAAATCAGATGTTTGTATTGTTAACTTGGATGTTGTATTTTTTAATGACCCTCTTTTGTGATCTGGTTATGTTTTTGAAAAGGGAACTGAAAATACAGTGAATTAAAAAAAGTAAAGCAATAAAGTAAAACTAATAACTCAGTCCAACAGAGGCATGACCAAGAAAGCAGAGACCAGATCCCATGCCTCTAATGAATCCAAATCATTAAATCTGACAGTTTGAAGAGGGTCAGTCTCTTTAAATTGTTATCATTAGTCTTTTCCCTGGCATTATAAAGCAACAACATCCCATTTCAAAAATAGCTTGCTATTGTTTACTAAATATTCCTTTATAGACTCTTATAGTACACAGACTTCAGTTTCATTCTAATTTCTACTCCAGGACTGTTGCTGCAATCTTTCTGCAGGATTAATAAAATGGATTGTTGGTAGAAATTGATACCTTCCAATGGTATCTCTGGGCCACCCAAAAAGTACACAAAAGTACATGAAATGATTCAGTAGATTACTACCCCTCCACACCAAAGTTTATACCTTGTGCTCCCAAGAGGCTCAACTGGCTCAAGTGAGGTGCTCTTGGCTAGCATGACAGGGGTTTCCCTCATCAAGCACAACACCTCTGGGATAGGGCCAGGATCCATCTGCTTAATCTGAGTGTGTGGAGTAGGGTACTGGACCCCTGAACAAGCCTGAAGGTTGCAGTGGTCCAGGTTGGAAAAAGGATCCTTGGGTAGGAGAAGACAGGTGCAGAACTGAAGAAAGGCAATGACAGGCAACAGAGATGTAGGAGCAAGAAGGCAGGCAGAGCAGATAAGGCACTGCTTTGGTCGAGCAGGCAAGGTGTCCAAACATTGGAGGGAGTCCATGAAGTTAGGCAGTCTGGGACTAACACAGGAAGACGTGAACTAAGCCAGGGGGAGAGCAAGGAATTGTGATCAAGGGAACAAGCAGAGGAGTCAATCTAGGGAGACATTCAAAACAGGAGAAACAAGCACAAAGCGCCATGTCGATGTACAAATTGCGAAACGTTTGAACACATTTGTAAAGCACTGTTCAAAGCTGTTGTCAACAGAATTAGCAAGGTGTGTAATGCCAGGCTGATAGCATCAAATTGATTAAATCTTCATCGTATTGATAATAATAATGATAATAAATCATAGATAACCTAAATCTAAAACCTACATTTTCAGGTCATGGAGCATTTTCACAGATACATAATGAGTACAGTGCATGTTTTTTAAGCTCATTTTGACTGAGCACTGTTTAATCATATTGTATCTGCTAAGCTTTTGCTGAATCACAATAAGGATTCTGTTTAATAATGCTATTAATTTTAGGAAACACAACCAAGAAACCAGAGCAAATTATTCAATATGTTAAACTATGTGAGTCTAAGAGTCTAACATTAAAATTGTTAGTGGTTATTTTTATATTGAATTAACAACTTTTAATAAGCCATTTAATTTCTGCGGTGCTATAGTAATATGCTAAAAAAATTAGACTGTTGGCATTTGTAATCAGTAAAATTTAAAGGGATTGCCCTACAATTATTTGCTCAATCTATATGAAGGAATATTATTTTATCTGCTTTATATACTGCCTAGAATTTTCCCATTAGGCTATTTATATACCACAAAAGATAACATGCTTGGTCTTCATTAAAATCCTACTTGCCAACGTTAAATTCTAAAACTCAATACAGGATAGCCTTCCTCTGGTTCAAATTCCGCGGCCGGCAAAGGAATCCTCCTCCGTTGGGCCCCTGAGCAAGGCCCTTAATCCCAACTGCTCCAGTGGCGCTGTACAATGGCTGACCCTGTGCTCTGACCCCCAGCTTCTCCCCCTGTCTCTGTGTGTGTCTCATGAAGAGCAAGAAATTGCATATGGCAAATAAAGTGATCTTATCATATCTTATATAGAAAAAATCCTCAGATGCTCAGAAGTGTGTTGCCATTAGTTGTTTATGGTATTTTGAAATGGCATGTGGATGAAGTTTTTATATATATTAAATATTTAATTAAAAATTAATTGAATTTAATGTTAATATTTAATTAAATATTGATTTTACTCCGTTAAAATTAAGACAGATGAATCTTCATCCAACCTGAAGTAATACAGAGTTGTGCCCACCAGGGGGAACTCATGGAATTCAAATCCTTCACAGTGATCTCTTGTAAGTATTCTAAATGCACAGCTTTAAAAACACAAAATGTTTTCTAATGTTAATGGTGTGCAATTCTTTAAAATCTATTTATTCCTGCTTGTCTGGTAGGTTTTATCTTAATATTACTTGTACTTACAATATTAAGAAGATGCAGTTATTATTTATTTTACTTAATTGGTACACTTAGCACTTTTTGAAAACAACAGTGATAGAAATTAATAGTACTCAAGCGAAAACACCACAAACCATGAAGAGATTTTAATCAAGCAATTGTAATTCAGCAGGGTTTACATGTTTCTCTCAATGCAAGTGAAAAACAATGCTGCAATCAGTTGAACAAAATAATGACACCCCAATAAACACTTCATTATAGGCTGTTTGTGAAAATATTACACAGTTGTTTTAACATATTTTGGCTTGATATGATTTCAGAAAATAAAGTTTTCAGATAATATCTTCACATAATAAATCAATGTACTCAATACATATCAATATATAGTGCCTGTACATTGAAAAATCATGATGAGGAGAAATAACGATAGTTCCTAGCACAATTATCTACTGTATAGCAATTCATAGACGTACAATACTTTAGCAGAAGATCATGATACATTTTTAATATTTCTTTAAATTTGTCTGAATATAGTATTAAATGCAGAGTTTTCAATATAATATATAAAGTAGGTTAGAGATCTAAACCTTAGATTCCAGAGATGAAACCATCCTGTAATAGACACTGAAAGATATTGATCAGAAATAGAATAAAAAGCGTGAATATGGTAAAAATAAGTAAAACACAGTTCAGTTTGACAATAGTAGCTAAAATGCTGTATATATAGTTTGATATAACCCTGTTACTGCAGGGTACACAGTTATGTGCATTAGTGCTCTCTAAATATTCTTAACGGCAATGACTGCTCACTCCTTTTCTTAAAAAAAAGATAATTTGCTTTTGAAAGAATGGTAATGATCCCCAACCCCCTGATCCGATTTGTTGAATTAAAGCTGTTTATGTCCTTAATTCTGCTGTTCCTGAAGGCAGGTGAGCAGGATAGAACATGGATCAAGATGCATCTCCGTGGCAACTGCTTCAAAAGGCACTGGATTTGGGGTTTCCCTAGAGACTGGCTCTGAAAAGCTCACAGAGTTTAATGATACAAAAACTAAACATAGCAAGTGTTGCTTAATATAGCATGATGTTTGTAATTGTAGATAATTAATTACAAAATAATTCAGTGTTTTGGGTTTTTTTTGGGTTCAGTAGCTGCACACAGGAGCTTGTGTGTGTTGGCTCACGAAAAATAATCAATTTCTTAACTAAACACATTCCCAAGGAATATTCTTCTTTTAAGATTAGAGTTTTTAATCCTACAGTATAAAGAACAGCAATCACCAAAAAATTACATTTCACCTGAGTAAACAATTTTTGTATACCATCTGTTTCATAATGTAAATAATCCTAAAATATGAGCACATAAGTTATGCATTATCCTGACATTTTTATTTTTCATTGCTCAGATCAGTCTTATCACATCTCATTTTAACACTACTCTCACACCTTCTCCCTGTAAAAGTCTACATTTTACTGTTTTCAGCCTTTAAGAATAAGATGAATAGTTTTGCAATTAAAAGAAAATTCTATCAATTCTGGCTATCAATACATTGCTTCTCATTGGAATGGAAGACTAAAACTAGAAGACTATTGTAAGACTATCAGAAACATGTTATTAATTTAATTTCTTCAGTTAATTCTGTGTTTGGACCATGTAAAAGTATGTTTAATTTTTTGTAAGTCATGAGTTAGCTAATCATTAGATAATAAGGGCTTGGTTATGTATTGTACATGAAACACAAAACACTCTTGGTATTCATAGTCAATGAGAAGAATGGATCTTCTAGACGGTCTAACTGAAATACTGTGAAGACAGGAAGTATGATGAGGCTATGAAATATCATAAAACTACATCTTTTCTGTTAAATTTTATTTTGAGACTTTGTTTAGTTTTAGTTTATTTTTACATGAATCAAAAATGTACAGTGATTCTTCCTGGTTCAGCTGTATTTCAGCAAAATTATCCAGGTGACCCCATAATTCTGACTGCCAGTGTGTATTTCCCATCATAATAGTACACGGAGTATTCAAAACTCTTTTGACAAGGTTGGTGCCCGATTTCATTTAATGAGACATTCAAAATAATGCCTTTGTGCTGTGTGGAAATCAAATGAGTTTAACCATTAATCACACAATGCTGGACAGGTCAGGAGGAACGCAGTGTTCAATGGAGTTTTGGGTTACTGCTGCACCAGGTATAAGGAGGACTGGACTACAAGAATAGCGGCTGTCAGGAGATATCCACCAGGCACCAGCAGATGAGCGGCATTGCCACCTGTTAAAAAGCAATTGCAACATCATTGTTAATCATGTGAATGATACATCAGGGTTTTCAACAAAGAAACTTTTGTTCCGGGAGAAAATTTATAGGTAACTGATTTGCAATGTATTGTGTTGCTGTGAAAAAAATGGCTAACTTGATCTTTTTAAACACTCCTTCTTATGTAATCCATTCCAGCAATGAAGAATATTTTATTTTTCAGTGCTTTGAGCTTAATAATTTAATGTGTGAATGTAGGATTGTGTAGGTTGAAATTAATACCTACTGACACTTAACAGTCATTGCATCTTTATCAGATCCCAGTTGAGAAAAAAACAATATTAGCCGTCTGGGTTATACTGTAAAAACCTTTTTATTATTAACCATTATTATTTTAAGTAAAATAGTCTTGTTCATTGAAAACTACCTGCATCTTCAATCTATTATTTTTATATATTATGTATTATATACTGTATGATATTTGAATGTTTTACTGAACAATGACTAAAAAGTAAGTATGGTGTTAAGCCATGTGTACACACCTCAACAGTAAATCTGCAAGTAGGAGAGGCTCTGAGATTAGTGACCAGGGTTACCTGTGGGATTGATGAAGCAAACCTGGGCAGCTGAAAAGCAGCTTAGCTTTGTTTTCTAATTAGCAGTTGTAGTGTTTTTTACATGACATAAAATACTGTAAACACTCAAATCAGGGAGCACTACCTATATATGTGTGTGTGTATATATATATGTGTGTGTGTAGATTTACACAAAAGAAAGAGTTCCATATTCTGAGGCAACAACAAGAGGAATTCTTACTTTGCAAGCAGAGTTTGGATTGCTGAAACTTTCCCATCTTATCGTTGTATTGAATTGTTTTAAGTTTTGTTGCATCTACATCTCCTGAAAGACAGCAAAATATTAGATACAATATCAATATACCACTAAGAGTGTGATAATTTAGTCAGTCATTATCATTCACCAAATTCAACATTTTTATATTGTTGATCCCTTTTGAAATTATTGGAATTTGCGCACTTTTGATTTGTTCTTTTAGATACACATTGATTTTCATAAAACCAACAAAAATAATAATTCCTTCTTTACATAGTGCTCATATACTGTATATAATCATTTATATAATCCTTCAAATCCCAAATAACATTACATACTGTATATGAGTGGACCCATTTAATCTGCTGCTGAAGTGCAGCACCCACTGTCCGACAGACCATATAGAGAAGTGTTTTATTCCTCTACCACAATTCTTATCTACTCTGCTTGATAAGTACAGAAAATTCAGTAGTACTTAATTAACATTGTACATGAGCATGTTTTGGGTTTTTCAAAGCAATCCAGAACTAAAAAGAGTTCAAAGAATAAGTGACACCTTTGCTAGAGAGAAAAACTACTACATCATTTTCATTGTATTGTCAGACTATGAGTTTTATAAACCTGCTTAGGTGAACTATCATGTTACCGTTTAAAGTTTCTGTGAGTTGCTGGCTTTTGAAAGGATGGAATTGTTCCTTTTACATAGACATAAATAAGGTCCCAACCTGTCATTCTGGAAATCCAGAAAGAACGTATTGAAAACACAGAATCTTATCTTACAAATCAGTGAGGAGTTACCCGTAACTTAGGAGCAACTCAGCTTTGCTGAAAATTATTTATCTTTAAGTGCTAGTGTATCTATGAACATTTAGTATTTGTGTTTTCAGAAAACCTGTACTGTTCATTAAATTAATCATACTTCTCAAACTTTGTTTTCAAAAGAAAGTAATGTTAGTCGCGAATCATGATGCTAAATTCAAACAGCATTGCTGTAAATAAAAAATTGATATTTCATGTCAGTTTTACCTGATAAGAAGAAAGTGACATTCTGGCATTTTCCCTGGTCAACAACAGATAACGCTTCAGGCAAGATAGTGACCCTCCAGAAGTCAACTTCCAGAACACTGGCAACCTTGTTGCGGAATTCAAACCTAGACAAGATGGAGAATTTTATTTCCATCCAGTAACCTGTTCATTCTTTTAGTCTTTAACTGATGTACAAGCTGTTTCATACATAGAGTTATGATTTATCATGTACGTGATGTGCTGTAAGAAATACATTTTAAATATATTTTTAAAATAAGAATGCTGTATGCTAACACACTGAGATATTCTGTGAAAGAGACTGATTTAATGAAAATTCAAAACAAACAATACTGTTTCTGTAAAGCATTTTTTTCACGTGGACTTCATGCTCACCTGCTGAAGGAGTCGAGCTTCGGAAATATCACTTGCTCTGAAGGAGAGTCTGGTATGATGTTTGCACAAGATAAGATACCACTTGTGGTGCTGAGGCTTATTGACCTGTACACAACTGTAACACAACCTACATTTAGACCACATGTCCTTCACCATTTAGTTACAGTTAAGACAATAAAAGAAATTTAAAGGCATTTTCTTTCCAAACTATATTTAGAATATTTAGAAAGTTGCAATATCTAGTTCGCAGCTACTGTATATCACCCTGCAAGTCACAACTTGTAGCCCAGTGAAGCTAAGCAGTGTGAAACTGGCCTGTACCTGGGTGGGAGACCTCCTGGAAAACTAAGGTTGCTGCTGGGAGAGGTACAGTATTAGTGGGAACAGTAGGGGGTGCTCACCCTGCGGTCTGTGTGGGTTCTAATGCCCCAGTTTAAGGATGAAGATGCTATACTGTAAAAAGGTGCTGTCCTTTGGATGAGACATAAAACCAAGGTCCTGACTCAGAAAGGGTAGGGGTGTTACACCAGTGTCCTGGCCAAATTTCCCTGTGGTCTTTACGAATCGTGGCAGGGAAATAATCCCCATCTATCACTTAGTTTCATTATTCTTTTCTCCTCCACACTGATAGCTGATGTATGGCGAGCATACTGGTGAACTTTGTCTTTGTGGCATCATTCAGGTGGGTGCCACACATTTGTGGTGGAGAGAAGTCCCCATTACCTACTGTACAATGTGCTTTGACTGTCCAGAAAAGCGCTATAGAAGAGTAAAAATGATGAGATTATATACTATAAGCATCAGATATGTGATACAGTTTGCACATTTAGCGTAACTTAACGGGAAGACACGTGCCTTCAGTTTGACAGTCATTGACTTGCAAACATGATGTAGCAGAGCACGTTGTCGGGGTCATGCTTAACAGACGTCCAAACATTTATTTAATAATTAATAATTGCTTACACTTCATACCATTTTTACAGGTAATTGGTACCTCTTCTCCACTACCAATGTGCAGCATCCACCTGCATGATACAACGGCAGCTATAGTGCGCCAGAACACTCACCACACATCAACTAACAGTGGGGAGGAGAGCAGAGTGATGAAGCCAATTTGTAGATGGGGATTATTAGGAGTCACACCACAGAATCAAGACACTTATGCAGAAATGATACTTAGGACCCAATGGATGCTGAGACTAATGCAGAGCTACTTCTGGTTGGAATTCACTGGGACAGAAAATATTGCTATCGGACCTGCAGAACCTGTGAGGTGCAGAGGTTCCCAGTGAATGCTCTTTTTCTTCCCTTCAGCATCATCAATGCAGAACAAATGGAATATATGGGGGTCTTTGTCTTCAGTTGAATTGCTGTGGATTATTTCACCAAATATTTTGTACTTTTTCACTCTCAGATCAAGGTTCTCCAAATATAGCTGAGGCCCTATATCTGCCTGGTTTGAGGTTCCAAAAGGGTTTCTGCAGTGACCAGAGAAGAAACTTTGGGACAAGAGGTCTTTGCAGAGCTCTGTCAGCAACTTGAGATCCAGGAAATCTATGTCACCCTGCTTCACCCCCAACAGGGGGTGAATATCTTGCCATCCACAATCAGAGGCATTGTAAATGACACTTCAATAGCAAACAGAGATTCACACATACAGTACTGTATGACTTATGACTTAGACTGGAGCAGTACAAAAGCATTATTATGAGCAATGTGTAAAGGTCTAGGTGTACTTCTAATTCAAGAATAAAGGGTACCATCTTCAGAAGCTCATGGTCCTCTGATGGCTTTCTGATTTTTACGGTAAGAAAATAAAAACCTGCTTTCATTGAGTAGTGTTTCACCTGCATCTTATAACACCTTACAAATGCAGACAGGTCTTCAGTTTCCCCACTAGAAGTGAGGAGTCAGAATGAGGAGAAGTTAGCAGACCTCTTGGTGGACTGAGAACTAGCAGTTACTTGGAGACCATCATAATACTAATAATTTTGACATATGCATGGTAAGCTTGTGAATTTTTGAGGACACGTGGACCTCATTTTGGGGCAGTATTGTGGCCTGTGAGTCAGTGGGCATTTGCTGAACTTCCTTTAAGTTGCTGCAGAGCTTGTAGTTCATGCAGCTCATTGCAGGATGCGTGGCTGGAAGGTGACAGGGTCACAGGAACCTGTTTCATCTTTCTGGTATCACCAGGTGTGCAAACAAAAATCAGACTGAGTGGATATGTAACACAAAATAATTGACAAGCCAGCAGTTTTAAAATATACACACATACAGTAAGTAATGGAAAAGAAAAATAACATTTCTACTACGTATAAAGGTAGCAAAATTAAATCAGCACAATCACCAATTGCAAATTAAATATCATGTTGCTCATGATTCACCAGAAGTGTCATGTCATTGAAGGACTTCAGTATTAATTTGGGATAAGATTAATCCAAACCACAAATCTATAAGTCACAAAGCACTTTATAAAAAATGATTTAAGGGACTGTCTTTACTACTACAGCAAAACAGGATACACTCTGGTAGAGATGCCAGTCTATTGAAGAGCAGACACAAACATGCACACACTCACATGAGAGCCAGTTTTCCTAGAAGCCAGTTAACCAATACCTCCTTAGACTGGGTTGAAATTGCATTTCTTGTTTTCTTGCTAGCTTTGGCTTACAAAATATGGTTAATTTAAAGGAGGCTGTATTTTTATGTTATTACCAGTGAAATCTCCAGTCAGGTCAAGGTTGGTGTCAGTGAAGAGCTGCCTCAAATGCAGACTGACAGGACCATGTTTTGCTGTCAGGTCCCCAACTTCACAGTTCAGTACATTATTAGGGGAACAGCTGAAGTTGTAACCAGGCTAGAAGTAAAAAAGTAAAAAAGAGTTACAGATTTATTTAATATGCAACTTGCTTTGAAAAGCAAAAAATATATATCAACATCAACATTCAAATAATGTAATTATTTGAAAACTATGATACCAATAAAGAAATGAATACACACCAATATATGTATACATACTGTACAAAGACAAATATGTTCAAAGAGAAGCCTTTGAATCATGCATGTTTCTTTCAATTTCTTATGGTCTTTAAACAAGAAGGTGAAAACAAAGTTACGTAATAAGAAAATCAAATACATATCCAAATAAGATGTCCTTAGAATTTATAGATATGTACAGTATTTGATTGTACTGTACATTTAGAAAAAAGAACAAGAAAGGCAGGAATACATATTTCTTGAAAGAAGCCAGGTTATCAGCTTCAAAACATTAATGGATAGCTTGTTCCATATTCCCATAACCCAAATAAATTTTGCATTTTACAAGAATATTGCAATGTTATTTAAATATTTTAATGCAAAAAGCCCTTAAAAGTATCCATACTGTAATTGTACTACTTCCGTGTTTTCAGTCACTAAAGAGCATGAAAAACAACATGCATGGTTGTAGGTCTCCAGGTCCAAGGGTTAAAATGTTATAGACTGCATTAATTCCTTAGTGGCTGCTACAACAGCTGGAAACCATCTCCAGTCCTGGAGGGCTGACATCCAGAAAGTTTGGTAGATCTCTTTATCAAATCTGCACATCTGTGCTGGGAAAGGCTGTAAAACTGCTCTAATTGAGCCAGAAATGAGAAATGTTCTAGTGGGTTGGTAAGGCATGAACTGAAGTTAAAACCTTCAGACAGTGTACCCGTGACTGCAGCTAGGTTTCCCTGTGGTACAGGAAGCATTAACGTCATGTTGTCACGCAGCAGTGATTCCTCTTGGAGTATTGGCTATTTGAGATTTTGAGTCTTTCCATGAGCTCCTGTACCCAGGTGTTTCAATAGACTGATCACGTTCCTAGTGTTGTCTGGTACTGCTCACAACTGGGTTCATCACAAATGCTTTGGGGCCTTTAATTGAACTATTTTCTTAATTAGAAATATTTAAATTGTTCTATCCTCAGTTCTTTCTCTCAGAAATATTACCTGCTGTACATAAGCATTCTTAATTCTTAGTGGGCTCAGTTACTGAAATTTCTCACACCTAAATAACAGCAGCTCAGTTGTTCTGATATGCAGCATTTGTGGTAATCCGCTCTTCATTTCATACCATTATTTTCACTTCTATTAACTTTAGAACTTGCATTAAAAGGTCTTATAAAAAAAAGTTCAAATAAAAAGCTTTAATTTCTTAAATAATTAATGAAGAAGAAAACTTAGAGGACAAGGATTCCCAAACTATGGTCTAGCACATGGATCTCACATAACTGAATACCATTTCATCCACCCATGGCGCCATATTTCAATGGCTTCTTCTATGGTCTCAGGGAGCCAAAGTCTATCCCAACAAGTAGCAGGTGCAATTCACAGAATAAGCTCTTAAAATCATAATCCACCTGGTAACATTGATTCCTTTGTAAGTGGAATTTAGAGATGTCTCACCCCAGTGTCTATTTTGAAAGGGTTGAAGTGGCCTCCTGTACCAGAACATCTGTCATCCTTCTCTTGTATGTAGTTGACATGGATATGCCAAAGAGCTTCAGTGACCTTACAGTAAAAAATAAAATAAAATAAAATTGTCAGTGCTGGCAAAATCCATTTTTATTTCCTTTTTATTTCAATCGGTGTTTAAAATAGCATTACTTTTTTGCATTAATCACATTACAGTTTGGTACAGCAATTGCTCAGCTCATGAACATAAAAAAACTACAGAAGGTGGTTGATACAGCTGAGATCATCACTGTTACAGAACTTCCTTCCATCCAGACCATCTTTACCACACACTGCCTCAGAACAGCAAATAACATAATCGAAGACCAAAACCACACCGGGAATGCACTTTTCTCTCTTCTTCCTTCTTGTCTATAAAAGCCCTGACATCTAGGTTCAAAGAAATTTTTACCCCACAGCATTAAAGACTCCTAAACACCACCTCTTATATCCTCAATCAAACCAACAAGGAGCTCATTCAAAATGAATGAATTTCAAGATGGTGTTCCTTATCTTCTCATATTTTCTTTTTCCTCAGAAGACACGGCGTTTTGAAAATGAAGGAAATGACATAGAATCTCATTCTGTAATAATGACCTCAGCAGGTTCCTCCACATTATTACACAGTAATATCTGAGAGGTTAAAATGTGTAGAAAGAATGGCAACATTCAGAAAAATCGACCTTACCCTACAAGGTGTTTTTTTCAATGGACAAAAAGGTGAGAATATAATGCATAATATTATTGTTTTATGATAGTTAAGAAAAGTAGAAGCTGATTTGTTTTTGAAGAGCTCAATTAGTACAGTACTATGCAAGAATAACAAGTCAATTAAGGGTCACAATCATGGCATTAACAAGTCCACTCCATATTTTATCCTATGGCGACCTGTGGTGTGGTGTGTCTCTCAGCTAGAGTTTATTATAATCCTAAGAATATGAAAGGAAATCCAATAAGACACATGAGAAAAATACCCTTGTTGGAATCATTTGGAGGAAAACATATGAGCACATTTATCAATGACTATTTGACAGCAAGAAATAAGTATAGAACAGGTTCTATCTTTGACAAACACAATTTTTTATTAACTGAATCACACTGAATTCAGTTACCAAAACGTTTTTGCCAAGTATAGTTTTGCATACTGTACATGTAAAGTACCATTGGACTTTTGTCTTGTTTCTTAGTGACTTATGTGGCATTATTTCTGCTAATGCTAAAATAATTCAGTTTACTCTAAGTGAAACTGACATTGGATAATAAATGGAATAAAAATGAACAGGAATACAATTATTTTAAATTGTTAATTTGAACTGAAACAAAAACATCATAGAACAAATGTTACTCTGTTTGTGAGCCTCCACTGGATAGAATCCTGATTAATTGTTTGCCACCAAATCATTAATCCAGCCTATATCCAAATACAAAAACACTATATTTTAAAATTATTTTATGATTATTGAATTATTATCAATCCCAAGATATTTCAAATGAAACACAACTTAAATATGCTCACAGTTTTAAAATATATCAAGATTATATGTCTATTTCTTTAGAGAAAAACAGAGATTGTTTTGAGTTATATTTAAAGTAAGCCGGTCTGATATTGTGCTCATTGCTGAAGTTAGTTATTGAGTTACTTGTGTTTGGATTTTGCATGCACATAAAATAGCCATTACAGGTAAAATATACAGGTACTTAATAGGATATAACATGAATGAATTACGCTATTTATTTTAATGGAGTAATGAATTTTTGGTTCACTTCAATGGTTAAAAATAGAATTAAAAAAAGGATAATGAAATCAGCTGGAATGTGTAGTGAAAGAGAAGGAATTGTAAGGGAATGGAAATATATATATACAGTAGTTTTAAAAACCTTTAACAGTATTATATTGCTTTTAAGGTTCCAGTCTGTGTATTTTTTAATGCTTATGTAACATTTTAATGGAGCTCCTCTATGTTAATGGTGTAATTACAGTAAGTCTTTATTGATGCAGATGTGACAGAATTTAAACCTCCATCATCTCATTGGCAACTGTTCTAATTAAAATTAAGCAATAACTTTTTAACTGATCAGCCTTACAACTTAAGGAATGATTTGTGGCTATTTGTGACTATGTAATCCGGTAGTTATGAAGTGTAAGGCTCTTTTTCCTCCTTCAGTTCTGGAAAGATGCTGGAATAGCTGTGAGGTTTGGGTTGTGTTAAAAGAAAAAACTGTGCTGGATTTGGGTGCCAATGGCATTTTTTTTACTTTGGCATAACTGAAATTCTTTTGGTGATGCAGTGTGAATATTACACTAAAGTATTTTTTTCTTCCTTTTGTTTTTTTTTTTCCCACAGTAAAACCAGCATTTCCCATTTAATTGGAACAAGACTGCATTCCAGAGGTATTGCATTGCTCATCACATGGTATCCAGTGGTATCCATCAACTGGGGTATTGATAGTCACTGAGACATATCAATTGTCTTTGTCATGCTGAGACAGTAAAATCCTTACTCACATTAATGTTCTGTGATGCTTGTAGGTCCACCTTAATGATAGTGTCACTGCAGCTGCCATCGGGATATACCTGTTGGGTCTAAAGCACATATAGTAATTGTTTTAAGTGTTTTCCTTCATGAACAAAGTAGACTTCACACTTGATCATAGCCTCTGAAACACTGTTTGAATACTGTATCCTAAAGAGAGACGTTTCTCTACAAAACCATCCTATACTGTGCCTCTTTCTACTGTATATGTAGGGGCTTTCCAATGCAGAATACAGAATTTATTGGAAATCAAAAACAGTATTGTATATCCTGATATAAACATCATAACCTGAACTTACATTAAAATCTAAGGAACCTTCACAAAGCCCTGAATTTCTCATTCCATAACGATACGTGTTACATAAATATTCTATCTTTAAAGACATTTTGTACTGAGAGATTATACTGTAGTTAACCAAATTCCACTTTTAAAACTGAACACATCACTATTGAACCCTTCATCTGACAGATACATCTGGTGAGCATGCAGATAAGACTTAAGCCCACAGCCAACTCCAGGAGCAACAGTGAGCTAGGACTCAGGGATCATTTGGAAAAGCAGCACAACATCACATCCCAACAGGACACAGTTCATTATTCCCAGTTCTGCTCATTAATTCACTTGCTAGGCAAGTGTGTCATATTTTTGTGACAGCTTTAACAAAATAATTGTTTCTTCCATCATTCACCGTTTTAGAGAGTCCTTTGGACAGGATGCATAACTTACCTAACATGTTGTGATTTTTATATATTGATAAAGAAATATCATTCGCTATATCTTCAGTTTTCAATTTATTGATATTTACTATTTCCTCTCCTTTTCTTTGTTTGAATGTACACAGTATGGCCTAACTGGTAACTTAAACTTGTTTTTTAGAGAAAACTCTCTATATTTAACCTTCAAATTAAACCTTCAAATTTAGGTTCACTGGGGAGTCATTTCAGATATACAGTGCCTTGTACCCTTCTCTGATTTTGTGGGTTTGCTCAAGCTCTCTTAAGTTACTTGAGGATTGATTATGAACAGCAGTGTTCAGTGGTTTCCATAGATTCTCAATGGGATTCAAGTCAGGGCTTTTTTCTGGACAACTAATTTTTGGACAACTACTTTTTCTGGACAATAATTCTGAATTTTCCTTCCAGCTTTAAGTCTTTAGTAGACTGAAACAGGTTTTCCTTTAGTCTTTCCCTGTAATTTGCCTCATCCATTTTTCCTAGCAAGCTTTTCACACTCTGTTGTAAAGAAGCATTCCCATAGCTTGATACTACAACTACTATTTATTTTTTGCAGTGTTGATGTTGTATAGGAAATATGTTGTGCCGGATTTGCACCAGATTTTATGCTTGGCTTTTATACAAAAAGTTTCTAATCTGGTCTCATCTTAGACACCTTTTGCTACAGTTTTAAAGTGTCACTCAGGTGCATTGTTGCAAACTCCATTCTGGCTTTGAGATGGGTTATTTTTAATAATGACTTCCTTCATGCCACTCTGCCTTACAGGCTAGTTTTGTATAATGTTCTGGATAATGTTGAGTGTTGTACATTTTTCCCCATCTCAGCCGTTGAACTCTATTGCTTTTTCAACAGTTAAACAGTGTCCTGTGGCCAGTTTCCTCCTTTCCCAGCTTCCCCATTTGGAGGGATCTACAATAGGTAGTGTCAGGGTGGTATGATTCACCTTTCATTTCTTGACGATTGAGTAGACTGTGCTCATGAGGATATTCAGTGATTGTAATATGTTTCTTTTAATCTGTGCTTTCAATAAATGTATCCACAACCTCAAGTCTTTACTTGAAATTCATTATATGACTAAAGAAGCCTAAATAGCAGGTGTTATTATGCTGTATTCATTAAAGCCACTTTTACCATGCACAGAGACCGCTCAACTAATTGTATGGCTCATTAAGGTAATGTTGTGTACCTTAATTAAATTACTGTACATTTACATAGTTACTTGGTACTTATTGGGTCATGACTTTTGTATTTTTAATATGATCTATTTGCTTCTTTTTTATTTGTCTTTGAATGTGTGTAAAAACAAATATTAATGTCAATTTTAAAGTTATGACTGTGAGCTTCAAAAACGGAGACAGAAAACTGTGCAAGGGTCTGAAAACGTTCACATCATTTTGTATAAAATATCGGCATAGGTATTGTGAGACTAAAATACAATTCCTAGCATCTAACAAGGAGAAACATGTATAGTGTTGTCTTTAGAAGTGACAGGAAAAAAGAGAAAAAATACAATTTTATGATGTATGCAAGGTTTAAATGGTTAAAAACAATCTTTTGGTTCAAGATGCATTTTCATTCTTCAGCTGTTAAGAAAGGAGTATAACCATTAAGCAGCAAGGTTCTACTTCAAATCCTAAACAGGTTTTTAGCTCTAAACAATAATCCTTCAGGTGTTTCAGATCTCTACTGTACTCAAAACCACTCCCACCTGTGCAGTTTCAAGTCAAAGAGGAAGCAATGCAGAATCTCTGAGACAAGACTGATCTTTCACAAGCCTTGAGAAACCAAGTAACCCTAGCCAAAATTGACCTGCAGCCATTGCTTTTTGTTTCTTTCTTTGGTCAAAGTCAGGAACCTCTTGAGACAATGGGATTACTCCAGCGCAAAAACAATAGAACTCCTGTTGAAAAGAAAGCCAATTTGACCATTTAAAAAGACATACTGTAAGCCACTTTTTATCAGTAATTCTTTTTTGACAAGTTTCATCCCTTATAATGAGCCACAGGACTATCTTTGAAGACGGAATGGATATTATTTTTTCCAGGTCTTTTAAAACTTACCAGTGATATTGTCCCCTTCACAGAACTATTAAACGTAGCCTTTGCTCGAACCCAGTGTCCATCTGAGGCTTGATCAGGCAGGATGTCTGCACACTGCATTCTTCAGGTTTTTTTTTTTAAAAAGGGGGGAAATCAAGGAATTACACGAGCACCTTCACATGGAAAATTAACATAAATAACAACACTGTAATTGAATATTTGAAAGGTAAATTACAATCTTAAAAACTGGCTTAAAACTGTTTAGGTATAAATGTACATTTCTGATTTAAGACCCTGATCCTAATTTATGATCACTTCAGATCAAATGGTATTATGGTTTTCATTCCACTCTAGCTTTTAATACCTTGATTGAATCTATAAGTGGCTTAATTACCCGTAATTACCACTGTTTCCAAGTCTTCAGTGGTAAGGAGTTTGAGTTCCCTTCACAACCCACATGACTGTAGCTCACCGGAAGAGAGGAACACAAATGCCTAACATTTATAAAAACGGTTATTCATTTAAATACGTACCTCATGCATGATAGGAGACAAATTAAGGAACACCTGATACCTAAAGAAGACTCAACAGTGAAAACTTTCTTTCTACTTTTTAGCCTAGAATTATCCTTTATTTGTTCCTTTGCAGCCAATACAGCAGCTCCTTCCTCAAACCTATTCAGATGTTAATTTAGTTAATTGTACTGTTATTAATGTGTATCTTACATACTAACAACTAAACAGATTTACCTCCATTCAGATTAGTATTTACTATTGTAGTTGTTGTACATCAGACTTTGTGCTGTTTTGCTAAAAGGTTTTATACAGCCATCCATCCATTTTTAATTGCCTCATACTGTATGGTTGCAGGGGAGCCCAGCAATCAAAGGGTACGAGGCGGGATATTCCCTGGACAGGATACAAGTCCATTGCACAGCACACACATATCAGGGCCAATATTCCCAGAAGCCAATCAACCAGCTAGTACTGTATGTCTGTGGACTGTGGGAGGAAACCAGAGCACCCATGCAAACATGGGAAGAACATATTAACTCCATACAGAGAGCACCCCAGGTCTCCAGTGCTGCAAGACAGTAACGCTTACCACTGCACCACTGTGCCACAAACAGTTATGTAATTTTCTGTATTTATTTGCTTACGTTTTCTGATTAATTTCCTTAACCCTGAAAGACATTGCCTTTAAAATATCCAGTTCACTACATCCACCAGAATGCAGACTGAAACCCAAATGTGTCACCACCTGCACACTTTAGCCTTATTCAGTAGCAATTTGAAACCAATATATTTCCTAGTTTCCTACTAGGAAAAAGAGACTTAGAAAGAGATGATTGTTCAGTGTTTCTGATATCTAATACTGTAATTATTTCATAGTTCAACTTTACTAGGCCCTGTGTCTCATTGTGCTAAAGAATTTCTACAGTAAAATGATATGGAAGCCACTAAGTGCCGGGGAAAAATTCACTAATGAAAAATACAGGAAGGAAAGCACAGAATAATTGTCACCATTTAATAGCAGTCTTGTAAAAAACATTGAATTTAAATAGAAACTTTTTCCCAGGATATCAAGATTCTTGACTGTGAAGAAAGATTTTGTAGACAATTGTTAGTGATGACAAAAAGTTAACTTTTGTAAAATTAGTAATATTCTGAAGTGATAAAATGCCACTGGCTTTGTCATTTAGTGCATAACACTGGTATGTATTTCTACCTATTGTTGATATAATTTAATTGTAATTAATATAAAAGTCAATTGAAAAACAAGTAAACGTTTCATACTGTAATTATTTCAGTTCCATTTCTTAATCCCCATTGTATTCATCACTTTGGTTCTGTGGTTAAGGTAGTAGCATGCTTGGAAACATTTATGATTCCTTTGTTACTGTACATGCTGACCATGATTTATTGCATGAGCTAAGCTGACCCATTCCCTTGTACACATTTGGCATAATGTATGTCTCACTAAGGTTCAGCATCAAAATACTAATCTATTTTGCAGATACTGCTACAATTTGCTTAATGATATTTTAGAGAAATAATCATTAGTAACATAAGTAGCACTGTGGCACAGTCACTAACATGAATGAGTTAAAAGGTGCAGCAATATTCCTCTTTCCTGTTGCACCTAATGAATCCATGTGCTGTTATACAGTCCAAGCTAAAAAGTATCCAAAATATTTCCAAAAAATAGCAAGGAGCTATCAGGGTAGAAAGTCTAGTAACTCTATCCGTGGCCCAGAGAATAAGGAAACACAAGGTCATCGTGTGCATGAATGAAATTAACCAATATATTAAAAAATGCATATAACTACAAATAAACATGTAATGTGATGGACATATTACAGTTAAAAGCTGAGCAACACAAGATATGAGTTATGGAGTAAAAGTTAAAGTGTAATAAAATAATAATAATACTACTTTAGCATAATAGTTTCACATGTAAAAATACTAATTAATACCTCTATCTATGGTTACATATAGAACTAAAACTTCCTGATGAAAATTATAAGTATCAGTCTTTCAGAAACAAAGGGCTGCATTGTAGGCAGAATGGTGGCACAGTAGGTAGAATTGCTGCCTACGGCTGTGGGTTGGTTGTTTCTATTCCTGGGGCGATATCTGCGTGGAGTTTGTATGTTCTCCCTGTATTGTGAAATGTGGGGAAATGTGGGATTTCTCCAGGTGCTCCAGTTACCTCCCACAGTCCAAAGACATACTGGTTGGTTAATTGGTTTCTAGGAAAACTGGCCCTGGTGTGTGGTTGGGGGTGTCTGTGTGTGCCCTGTGATGACTTGGCATCCAGTCCAGGGTGTTTCCTACACTGCACCCAATGCTTCCCACGATAGGCTCCAGGCCACTGTGACCCTGCATTGGATAAGTGGTTATTGAAAGTTTTGTAATGATGTGATCATTAGTAATAATCCATCCACCTATTCTCTAACCGCTTTAGTCTATACAGGGTCGCAGGGGAGCCAGAGCCTACAGAAGCAACAGGTGCAAGGCAGAACTCACCTTGGATGGGACTCCAGTCCATCACAAAGCACATGCAGACACAAACGCACACACCAGAAGCCAATTAACCTATCAGTATGTTTTTGGACTACAGAAATAAACTGGAGCACCTGGAGGAAACCCACGTGAACACAGGGAGAATGTGCAAACTCCAGGCTTCACAAGACTCCATACTAACCACTGCACCCACCGTTCCCCAGTAATAATAATTTTTAGCATTAATATGGGATTTTAACTGCTTTCGTGCTTTACATGTACATATAGGTGGGAATTCTGTTTCCAGCAGCCCCCTATACAGCAGAGCAGGTGGAAAAAAAGAAGTTCAACTTCATCAATTGAATAAATAAGTAATTTAATGATTTATGTATTAATTTATGTAGCCAGGACACTGGGGTTAGTCCTCCATCTTATGAACAATGCAGTGGAATTTTTTTAGGTAAGTCAGGACCTCCATTTGTGATTTAATCTGAAAGACAACACCTTCTAATGCACAGTGTCCATGATCATCCACCTGAAACACTGGTTCAAAAGTCCAGGTTCAAAGGGATAAGTGTCACCTAGGTAGTACAGTAGGTACAGTACGTAGGTCCCTTTTCAGGCCATAAAGGCCCATGGGGGGAATGGGGAACAAGAGCCACTATTTTTCTTGACCATCCAACACTGGAAGTGGAGGTGATGTGGTCAGTATAACACTCCGGCTGACCTATTACCCCCAGAAGGATTAACCCCCAGTACTCATTTGGAAAGCAGGCTGAGTGGACCTGGGAGCCATCTGGAAGGAATTAGAGCAAGCGAAATCACTTGCCCCTACCTGGGATTGGATCCAGAACCTTCCGGTCAGGAGCTAGACGCCCTTGCCATCTGAGGTACCATGGCGCCGTAAGTGTCACCTACTTGTCATCAAATATCACTTATAGCAGAACCGGGCTTTACTTGGAGGTCTCCATTTCAAGCAGGTCCAGCCCTACATAGCTTCTTACATCTGACAAAATCAGGTTATAGCTTGGTTACACTGCTGCTGACGTGCCAATTTAACTGTATCAGAAGAGCAGCAAAACTTCTTTAAGAGAGAATCATTCTTATGAAGTGCAAACATAGTGCATGTCGAAGGTAATTAATGTTATCACATGTTTTCTGATGACTGGGTTTGCTGGTCATTTTTAACCACTTTACGCAATACAGGATCAAAGGGAAAGCCTAACCTGGCAAGCTAACAGGCAGGCAGGATTCACCCTGGACAGGAAGCCAATCTATTGCAGGGCATACACAGTCCAAAACACACACATACTGTACTATATGGGAACACCAGGGCCAATTTTCCCAGGAGGAATTTAACCTAACAGTATGTCTTTGGACTGGGGGAGAAAACTATAGCACCCAGATGAAATCCACACGAAAACAGGGAGCGCAAATAAACCCCAATGCAGATAGAGCCCTAGGAATTACACTCAGGGCCCCAGCGCTATGAGGCAGCAATGCTAACCACTGTACAACCATGCTACCCAATGTAATAATAATAATAATAATAATAATAATAATAATCCATCAATATTTACTATTTGATTTCAGCTATTATGTTTTATTAATTCAGAAGGTGTAGCTTGAATAATGCCTGTAAATAAAGTACCTTCATTTTATTTTTACCCATGAACAGCTGGTGATCTTAAAATATTTCTTATTCTTCCTTTAGCTATTTGTTAAATGACAATCATGCTTACTTAGTGATACCCTGTATATGGTAATTTTCTCTCAGAATGAGGAACATTAAAACTAGGACACCTTTAAATGTGTCTTAAAATGTTCCTTTATTAGAAATGTTTTAGGATGCACCTGGTGTTCATGATTTTCCATTGTAATTTTTCTTCCCCTTTTTCTGTTCTGTATTGTTCAAAGTTGTTGGTCAGTTATGCAGTGCAGCCAATATCTATTGCACATGATAACAGCACATTTGCTTTACATTGCTGTATTGGAAATGAGCAGAGAGTTCACTAAATTTTCACAGAAATGAGTTGCTTGCACACCTTATTCTTAAAAGATTAAAGAGACTTTGCTAAAATGGCTGTCTCTGCTGAAGCACCATGAATAAACCTAAGAGAAAGTTGGAGGGAACACAGAGATGTTGACTGAAGGGAGTCTATCTTACCTGGATCCATTAGGATAATGAATAACCACTGAGCGTCCCATGATGCTGTTTGGCCCTGACAGTGGCATGTTATTATCCATGTACTGATTTTTAATCTCATCAAGATTGCTGAGCAGCCCATACTTTCCACTAATGTCTCCAATTTCATATTGATCTTGTGTGCCTGAGCCAGGTGCCGGGGATAAAGACACTTTAACAGAAAACGGATTGAAGTGACCCATAATGTTCTGGTCTGAACAAGGGTCTGTGCTTGTGGATGCATTTTTGATAGGCAGAATATGGACATGATATCCCCCAGCTTTTGCTCCTAAACCTGCCAGCGACACATTGATTATAGTCAAGTCCAGGGGAAAACTCTGAGAGAACTGCACTTGGTTTTGAGCTTTCCCGGTGCCGAACCAGAGACCAGTTCTTGCAGAGGGCAAGCGCACAGCAGTTATGTTTGCGCAAGCCAGTCTAGGTGAGGTTTTGTTAGCTGTGTGAATCACCACGGATCTGCCAAGAATGGAAGTGATCCCGGACATCCCAGATGTTGTGTCAGTGAAGAGGTGCTTCCTGTTCAGATTCCCAGCATCAGAGTGTAAATCAATCGGCTGGTGTTTGCCTGAAAAGTCTCCCACTTCACAAGCAAAAGGACTGTCTGGTTTGCAGTTCAGGACATAACTGCTGTCAGTAGTGTTAATGTTGAAAGGATTGAAATGGCCCTTTGTGCTCATGCATACATTCGGATCAAAATCTGTCTCAGAGCTGATAGGGTACATGTGAACATGCCAGTTATGGTTACTGCTTGCAGGTATTGTTGAGCTCACATAAAAGAGATCCAGAAACACCGTTAAATCTGAGTAAGGACTGTTCTTCAGCTGACTGAACAGAATTGTCCCTGCCACAGGACCCCTAAAGACAGACTTTGCCATCACCATTTCTCCTGGGTAACCAATGTTTCCACAGAGAAGCCTTGAAGAGTCTGGCTGGTGGATTACCACTGAGCGCCCAATAATGCTATTCCTTCCAAACAGAGGTAGATTCCAGTCAGTAAAACTCTCCTCAAAAGTGTCCATGTTTTCTAAGGACATATGCTTTCCGCTGAGGTCTCCAATCTCATACAGGTCATGAGTTGCTCCTGGATCTTTGGGATACGTGGGACTTTTCGCATCCACGTTAAATGGATTCCAGTGCCCACCAACATTGTCATTGCTACACACGTTTTCTTCCGATGTTTTCCTTTGGGGGACTGGAAAGTCGTGTACATGATACGACCGCACCTGGCTTTTTAGGTTGGTCAGATTCACTTTAAGTTCGGTGACATCGAATGGAGAAGCCTGGGTAAAGCTGAAGGAACCTTTAGCTCCCTTCATGTTGATGATGGCCTTGACTGTCTTTTGTTCCATCACACTGAGTTCTGCGCATGCATAATTTGTGCCATAATTAATCAGTGCAAAACGTACTGTTGTGAGATTTGCAATCTCTAGTCGTGACTTTATTGGCTGTAGAGGGGAGCCCACCCTTAGCCTACCAAGCAGTGACAAGGTGGATGGGTCAGGTTGGCTTAGAAGAATGGCACAACCAGAAAAATTGGCTTGGGCAATGAACATGCTGACAGAAGTTACAGCAGCACCTGAATGGAGAGACACAAGGTCAGAGAGAATTTGTGCAGCACTTTCTGCTTCATTTTGACGGATGTAGAGATCTCCAGCCACAGAGGAATAAAATTTGGCTTGCCACGTTTTTACAATTTTATTTTGTTTTACTGTAGCACAGGCTTTTCTGGAATTACAGGCTTCAACTAAAAGGGATAGGTCATCTAGACTGGATCTATTTTCAAAAAGGTCTGGAACACTGACAGACATGCTCAGCTGATTGACACTGAATCTGTAGATGCTTGATCCAATGTTTGTCTGCAGGCAGGGATATATGAAGTGGCCATACATAACTGGAAATTCATTTAGAGACAGGTTCACTTGATTGCAGGCCCCTGTCAAATTCACAGAGGCTGTTTTCTGGCTGGAATCAAAGTTGACCCATCCCTTCACCCCTGCCATGTTGATATCAGCTCTGAACTGCTTGCAGAAAGCAGACCCTGAAAGGAGGAGAAAAAACAAATGCTGTAAGGACAGGCACTGGAGAACACGTATGCACTGATTCATTGAAGATTAACAAATTTGTACTACTTGTTTGTACTATTGTACTACACTCAGAAAATATAATTTTAGCATTAATTCTGTTATATTTTGCTGGAGTGGTTTCTGATAATGTTGTGACTTTTACCACAGTGATAATCTTTAGTCTTGGAAACAAACTTTGAGACTTCTCAGTAGAGTATCTGCAAAACCTGAAAATGGATACAGATATTATATGTTTCTGTCAATGTATAGTCCACAATCATCTAGCTGGACTCATTTCAATTATTTAAAACAATTAATCATACCACATTACAGGTATCTTACTTGGTATGTTATGCTAACGTGGGCGGTTGGAATTGTAATAACTCTGTTCTCCTGGAAACAAGACTAGTTTTGTCTACCATCATACTATACAGTATAATAATAATGTAATGCAACGGGGGTTCAGGCGGGCGCCCTTGCCGCATTAGGTCGGTCCCCCGCCATCGGGGGCTCGAACCCGGGACTCCTGCGTCACTCAACAGCGACCCAGCCCGGTCAGCCAAAGAGAGATCTCTCCACTCCACAGCCCAGGGACTGTGGTCCTGCTATTACTGGGAAGGGCGGTGACGTCACCTGCTCTGGTAAGCCGGCTCTTACACAGTACCAGTCGGCCATATGCGTTACAATAATAATAATACTTAGTTCTACTGTACCTTAACTGCTTTATTGCAAACAGTAATAAACTGCAAATTGCATAATCAGTCCAGTTTACAACCAGAGACTTACAGAACATGGCATGTTCTCCCAGACAGTTTAGTAATATTTGTAACACAATCAGTCCAGTTTACAACCAGAGACTTACAGAACATGGCATGTTCTCCCAGACAGTTTAGTAATATTTGTGACACAAGCCCAACCCCTTCTTTTAGCAGGATCAAATTCATTTCAGAATATAAGCACTGTGAACTGTGGTTGAACTGTGGTTAAGCTTCTTGGCTCTTAAAAATATATATGAAAAGAAAGTGGTTTTAATGTAGTTTCTCGACAACACTGAAATTAAACCCTTGACAGAAGTCGATTTTGAAAATAAATCCCAAGTTACTTTTACTTTTGATCCATTTACGTAACATTTCTCAGTTACCATCCTTTCTCTGTATGGTACTGAATAATAGTTGCACAGCTTTATTTAATCAGGATGACATTAATCCCTTACTTAGTGTGGTAACTATTAAAGATACTAAGTAGGCTTCAGTATGGCCATCTCACATTAAAATGATAGCCGGTTGCTATAACACATAACCCCTGTCCTCTCCTGCATTGGTTCCCTAAGACATGTTGATTTTAAGGTTTGTCCAGCTTATACTGTACATACTTTCTTCCACACAATGGGAGATGGATCCCTGCTGTGGAACTCATTTCACAAATCCATTAGAGACTCTGCAATTGTGTTTAAAATCTATTATTGTGTTAAAATATGGCTCAAAAGACCTATCGCTACTGTAATATTTTATTGTTGTTTACTTAGTCTCGGTTTTATTTGGTCAGTTAACTGTGGGATTTGGAATTTCAGCTGTTTGGTATTAAGCTGTACAATTCTGCAGGTTTTCAGCATGCCTGAGTCCTGGGAATTGCTCTGGCTAGGTCAGGTGATGGAAGTGTATTACAACGAATGACACATTTTGTCACAGGGAGGCTCTTTTTATTTGACCGGGGGCGCCTAATAGTGTGGCCAGTGTAGCGTGTGTCATGGGGCTTTACTTCTCTTTAAATTTCATCCACTCATGCGAAAGTGTTCTAGGTCTAGTGAGTGAAGAGCCAAAGCAGGCACAAAACCACACAGTTTTTGGTGAAAATAAAACCACACAGGCTGAGCACAGATAAGCTGCACAGGTGTAGCATTATTTTTCCTGATCTTGTTTTACCTCAATACACATGACAGATCCTGATTCAGAAATGCCATTTGTGGCTCATCCCACCTCACAGTATTCACAGTATAGGACTTTTCCAGCTTCTCTCAGTATTTTGGCAACAGTTTTAGCTCAGTTTGGAGGATTTTCGGTTTGAGCTTGAAAGGGAAAATAGAAAACAAGGGACTCGATCTTGGAAGACCTTGGCTGACTCACAGTTTTGGAAACAAAAGGTGTCATTTCAGGTGAATACTAATATTAGGTTAAGAGAAAAGAGAAAGCTTTCAAATTTCAGTTCTTCAAAGGTAGACAGAGGTGGTGTAAAAATTCAGTCTATTCTGTATTACAATTACAACTAAATGACGAAATATAATTCTGCACATTACTTACAGTGTAAGTGATCTAATCAAGTGTTTTTCTATTGTACATGTTCTTTTTAACAATGGTTTGTATAAGCCTGGGTGAGGTATGAGAGTGTACTATGTTCGCTATGTTCCAGTCTTCTAAGCTTTATTTAAAACATACTGTACATACTGTCTTACCTTCCAAGGAGAACATAGACATAGCTGAGACAAACATTTCCTTTACCGCTTTATTAGCTTTACTCAAAACAGGGTTGCAGGGGAGCCAGAACTATCCTGGCAAGCAATGGTATGCAATGCAGGGTATACCCTGGATGGCATGCCAGTCCATCACAGGACAAGAGACAATATAATAATTGTAAATTATAGAATGTGTATTTAGAGACAAAAGTTATAAAAATTAGAAACCTAAAAGAATGTACTGTAGATCTTTTTATATGTATTACTATAAAATATACTACAAAAATCACAGGAGTTTTTACCATGGGAAAGGCCTTTCATCAACAAGAGTGTAGCTCTAAAGTTTTTATGATTGCAGATTAAAGATTAATTGCTTACAAAATAACTTTCAAAACTTCTTGATTATGTGGACAATCTACTCTCAAAAGAAAAATGTTAAGATAAAACATTGTTTTTCTCTCTCTCTTTCCTACATCTGTGTTGTATCTCACCACAATCCCACTTTAAAACTCTTTTTATTTTGAACTGGAGCATTTTGTTTTAAAGATCAGCTTCTTAGAGGGGAAGAGATTACTTTCTTTCAAACTTAAGTGATTAGCCAATAGTGTTCAACATGGTTATCTTTTATAAACAAGCTTCAGCCTGTTTTTGTTTCAAATTCCCAAAGTTAAAAAACACATATTTTTGCTCCCTATTGTTTAAAATAATTAGAAAAACTTTGTAAATCCAGCACAAGAAAATGTAAGTTTGGAAACTATTTTTCTCCATTTGCACATACTGTAGCTTAGAAAGTAGAAAAAGCAGAACAAAATTCACACTGGACATGTAAAAGAGAAGTTTAACAAGGTTAGGTGAAACTGAAATGTCATTTAATTGCTAATATTTTTTTTTACTTTGTTTCAGTGCGGCATCAAGAGCCAGCCGCATTATCAGATAGAACATTTCGTACAACAAGTGCTACCTGCTTTTCTCAGACAGTCTTACAACATTGAAAATATAAACTACATAATAACTAGACAGCAAAGCCTTATGAAATACCGTTGTTACTTACCCCACAAGCAAAGCAGCAACAGACCCAAAGAAAGGCACATGATGGCAGACATCTCTCATTGGTACTGACTAGCAGTGCTGGTTAATCAGTGCGTTCCTGCTGCCTCCTGAGTAAAGGTAAGGGAGAGAGCTGGGAGCACTTGTAGTCTGTGCTCAGGCCAGCTCTGATTGGCTCAAGGAAGGGGCTACCTCTCTCAGGCACTCAGGCTGGGGAAACAGAAGAGGTACACCTTGTCGAAGATAATGAGATTCTGTTCACCCTGCCCACAATGCACGCTCTCTGCAGCACTTAATAAACAGGATTAAGAGATTATAAAGGAACAGAAATTGCCTCTCCTGCCTCTCCTTTTTGTTCATTAGGCATACCCACAATATAATTTTATACCAGTTCAAGACTGTTTGTGGTTATTTTAAATAACACACAGTTTGATAAAAAGAAATAACCTTCAGGTCTTCTTCCAGTCTAGCAAAAAGCTCTATACAATATTACTGTATTTAAAGCAACTCGTTTTTTTAGTATATTGTTTCAGAGTTTCCTTTATTTACATTTAAAAAAAGAAAGTAAAACTGAAGTGCTGCTTATTTTCTAATAATAGCCACAAAGGACCATTGACATTTTTTGTTGGCTCCTAAATCATGGAGTCATTAATGATTGCAGACACTGCTTGATTTGATAGTTCTTTAAGGCTGCTATTACTGCAATCAGTTTCAGCAATTGCAGAAATAATAAGAAATAGGCGTACTGTACATGAACCATTTCCTCAAAGTACCCACTGCACAAAATCATCAGTTGTTATAAGTATGTAAAAGTCATGTTCAGCATACTAATAGATAAATTGCCATGCAAAGGTAGGCTAATTTTAATCAAAATAAAAAATAAAGGAATAGTATTTCTTAATTTCTGTATAACCTCAGTGTGCCGACAATAATGTGATTTCTACTCCAAGAATTTCAAGTACCAAGTTATAGCTTAGCAGTTTTGTAAGGTGGTTAAAAATGGAATTGCCTTTCTGGCTTCATATAATAAGGTTTTCTAAACAAAATAATTTAAGATTTTCATCTGATATCAAACAATATCATCATACATAAGGTGTCAAAGTGGTTTGTTTTGCCTTTTGTTATAAAAAATATTTGATTTAGGGATTTATTATTTATTAAATTTATTTTATACAGTACAGTCTCACTTTACTCGATCAGATAAGACAATACAGTGACAATCTGTAATGTGCATGGGCAATGCCAATAGCCAGTGTTAAATTAATAAGATTGAGAGACAAAATGAGTTTAAATTAAATAAAAATTGGATCAGGAAATATATTTTGATCATGAAGACAATATACATATCCTTTCAATAAATGTTGACAGCCTACCGTATCAGTTTCTCATTTCAAACTAATTACATTTTTAAACAAAATCTCAAATCCCAGGTAGGAAAAACACAATCCTGTTGTACCCATACTGCATGAAAAAATTAAATTGTAAATGTTTACCATTCTTCAATTGTCAGATATGTACTTAAGGCCAAACAAAGTAGATGAGTCAAACAGTTTTTTCACGTTAGGAAATGTTCTCATGTTCTTATATTGGATAAGCTGCTCTGCTCAGCCTTTTCTACCTTCCAAGAACCTAGGAGATTCCTTAAGGGGCTATTTTGCTTTACAGCAGAGATCGGAAACTCTGCTACATTGGTACAAGCAAATGGTGTACAGATCTGTCAACTGTCAAGTGCCAGAGACTTGCCACTAGAAAAGGCATAAACAATGTAAGGCAAACTCAGAGAGTTATCAGGTGCTGCACCAGTTTTTTGGTGTCTGGCCAGTGGTTATGGTCTATACTATAGTATGGTCTTAGTATCTGAACCAGTGACTTCAAGGTCAATGGTCAAATCTATTGCTGCATGTCTTTACAGTCATATTTGTCTTATACTGTACATACTGTAGGCATGCAAGATCTGTAAGAAGAGTTTCAAATTCTATCAAACCACTCTTGTACCTGCTCTGAACCTGAAAGATTACATAATGCTTTTGGAAAGTAAATAACATTTTCTACACTTTTTTAAAATTCCACAGCTTGTTATAAAGCGAAATACAAGCTTGGACAAAAAAACCATACACACTGCAAGTGACCCCAGTGACCAAAACAAATGATGAAGTCAAGAACATGGACATACAGTATGATCTAACATGCAGTTCCAGACTCTGCGTCCAAATAGATGCATCTCAGCTAGAAAAAAAAATACTATTTTTCTGAGCCCTTAGAGATAACATGATGATACTCTCCCCCATGAAAGCCATTTTTAAGTGAACCAATCATAATAATAACTGTCCCTTTCAAGTATTTCTAAAGAAAAAAGGTTAGCTGTGTTTCATGAAGTTATTTATCAATATTATTGTTATTGTCATTCCAATAACTAATGGAGAAAGAGAGGGATTGTTAGTAATTGCCATAAGCTTGGAGCCGAACAATTCTCAGACACTTAATCTCAGACTGCTCTCTAGTGGTACAGTACAGAGCACCATTGAAATGTTTTCACCGCTGGTGAAATGAGCTGCAGAACAGGCTATTTCGAAATTGTTAATCAAGAACAAAGAAGCATTCACAGAAAGGAAACTCGGGTATCCTGAATTATGGGAGATTATGTCTTCCAGTGCTCAGCTGGAAAATAAGAGACTACATTTGTCAAAAGTAATGTAGTCAAATAGTGCTTTATAAATAAGTGTTAGATGCAGGAACATTGCACTTAATCATAATTTAATTTTAATTGTAGTGGTGTTTTTAATAATGTCATTACTTTTTAGTATTACAGTACATAATTGATCATTAAGTAGCAACTAACTGCAGAGGAACAGTTACCTCTGCTGTAAAACATCATAGCTGTTGTGTAGGAGCTGAAGTGTGAGGACCTCTCTGTAGAAAACACATCAAGGTGAATCCTTTGATATATTTTCTGAATTCACAGAAGAAATATATATAGTATATACACATAAGCATATACTGTATGTGCAGAGTAGTATGAATCAAGCATGGTTGTGTAAAAAGTTATATTGTAGAGGAGAAGAGGCCATTTGTCTTGATGTTTATTTTATGTCTGTACAGACAGAGTCGGCTTGAAAGTACTTGACCACTCCACTCTAAACTTCCTTTCTCTAAAAGCTTCTTATTCCTGGTAAGCTTAGTGTCAAGTCGGAACATATCCCAGAAACAACGGTCACAAGATGGGACTCATCTTGGATGGTATATGAGTTTATCACAGGGCACAAGGTGGAGCTGGATGGGATATCACTCTATCACAGAGCAGAAGGTAGGAAGAAATTTTAACACTGGGTGAGACCCCACACAAACATGTTGTGAACATCTAAACATATTGAACTGAGATGTACTATTATGTTTTATTCTTATAGCCATTCATTCAAACATGTCTTAATTTGTATCTCTCTGATTCTGTCACTGAATTAAATTGTCTACATTTTCCTGATTGAACTGCAGCTGGGAAATTACGCTTCTCATTACATACCTCTGCTCTTTTAGTAGTTATACATAATTTCATAATTATTGCTTACAGTTCCATTTGATGTTATAGCCCTGAAAATATGTATTATAATTTTTGATCAAATCTATTTTAATTTTTTATCAGTAGACTGAGGAAAATTACTGTACATAAAATCTGATACATAAAAACATGAGTTATGCAATTAAAATACAACCAACATAAAAGCAGCTAAATAGTTAGAATTGTTGAACAACATCATCTTAAAAAATTCCCCAAAGGAATGTCTGTCCTAAGGCATCATTCACAATGTTATTTTTTTCATTTGTGATGAATTGCAAGAAGAACTCTGGGGACAGTACAGTCATTAGAAGTCACCATAAAGACAGCCACAAGCTGTTTCATGTGTACATACAGTATTTCATCTGTCGTAATTGTAAAAACAAGTCACTAATTGTTTGAGTGCTAATGGTGTAGAATAAAGATACACATGTTATATCTGTATATAAGAGTGGCAGTCATTAGTGAGTAGAAGTTGTGAGCATGCTTGGTGGACCTCAGTAGAAACATCACAGAATGAGCACAGAATGAGGTGTTTCTTACTAAAGCAAATATAAACTGAAGCACCAAAGCCATTTCAGTATAGAGCCCAGACACATGGGGAGAAACCCCAGGAACATTCTGCCAAATCAAGCTACAGTGCAATTTGACGTAGCCAATCAATCGGAAAATACTGCAGCAACACAGACATAGGGAGAATATGCAAACTTCTCACATACAGACACTATAACCTGGAATCAAACACAAGTCCTTGGAGCTGTTAGGCAGCAGTACTAACCCTCTTACCACTGTACTGCCCCCAGTGGATGAATAGAGTTGCTTGCAAGTTGTTGGTTTTGCACAGAAAATTGTTAACCAAGTGTATTTTTATTCCTTTGTTGCTCTAGTCTAGCTCATGTCTGACCATATCTTACTTACGATATGTCCCTCTGAACCACCACTGTTCAGTACACTCTTCACAACGGGATAGATGTAATGTATTTAGAAAGTTGGAAAGAATAAAAGTCCTGTTCTCATTCTGTTTCAGTTTTTTTAGTCCACTGGTATGCAAAACTAACAAAGAAGTCCCCATGTCAAGAGAATTAACTTGGCTCAAATAGAGCTTGAACAGAAATTGTATTGCACAGTGCGTAGCAAAACAAAACTATGTTACTATGTTCTCGGATCTTTGCAAAGGATGGTTCTTATTTGGAAGAAATTATTCTGAAGTGTATTTAAAAGTATAATAGTTTATCGCCTGTTTTACTGTAAATATCCACCAGAGGACAGTATTTGTATGCTGACAATCATTACACTACTTCCAGTAGATCTGTTGGGCCCTACAGTGGACTCAAACTTTTCATTTGCCTGCCTATTTCTTCTGCCTATTTTTTCACGGAGTATTTCTAACTCTTGTTCCAAAGTGAAAATCATTTTTAAAATCTTTTAGTTCAGTAGTTGACAATATATTTACATAAATTGCAAAAATAAAGCTTTGGAATCCTAGAAAAAGAATATGAAGGCAGATAGAAATACAAAGAACTTCTTCAATGCATCTGTCAAAGCTTTCCTCAAGGCTTTTAGATATACTCTCACTTAAAAGTAGGGTGTGATCAACAGCAGAACCAAATTTATAACTGAACTGATCAGTTATGTATATGGGCAATCTAACAGAGGAGGTTTTTGGAGGGGATAAATACCTGCTTGAAGTATTTGTGGCAATAAGAAATCAATAAAAAGGCTCCAGAGATACCCCAGCCAGAAAATTAGATTGCTATTGTTTCTGAGATTTATGTGATTGAAAAAATACAGTGGCTTATGGGCTGAGACAAACAAAGGAAAAAAAATAAAGTTTTTGAGAATTACTGGGAGGAATAACTATTATATGTTTTTCTTTGTGTCCTCTTTCTCCCTTGCACCCTGTTCCCTGTTGAACTAGAAACGAACAGGAAATGTAATACTTATTCACACTCGTAATACTTGATGTTTTATGGTGGCTGGCAAATGTGTTCTTTATAGTTTTGGTATGTAAAAAAAAGGAAACTAATAAAGTGAAAAAAAAAAAAAAAAATAAGTTTCAACCCTTTTTTTTCTTGACATCAAAGAGTCGAGGTAAACAATACTGTTCTTTCCAAAATGATACTCATAGTTCCTTTAAAGAGACAATAATGTGACAACAATGAAGGTTTCTAAGCCCTGTCCCAGCATTTAACTAATTGTTGAAGTGTCCTTCACTGTGAGAACATAGATGTGACCTGAAAACTATTCCAAGCATCAAAAAACTAATGTTAAGCATACAGTTGGATACTTTAAGATGGAAAAAGGGTTTTTGTCTGTGAGGGTGTTTCTCTGTTTCTTTGAGAATGTCTCTTCCAAACTTTTTAGAAATCAAAACTTGTTTCTCTTATGGGAGCACTAAGTTCTAGACAACGAATGCTTTTGAAACCACAGTTGAGACAAAATTGTAATTGTTGAATTATATTTTATCTTCACCACTTACGACTGCAACCAGTTGCTATGGAGTTTAAAATACTACATCTTTTACTGTCGTAGTCAATCTGCCTGTGTACACTGTCCTTGACCACCCAGTGAAGAGTAAATAGTTTTTTTGGTGCATTTACACAGGACAGTCTGAGAAGAGGCATTGTTGATAGTTTATAAAAATGTACAGCTGTATGAGACAGTTTCTTGTCACACCACAAGCATGTGTATACTGTATGCTCCTATGAGAAAAAAAAGTTCGACCGGACTAGTCCAAGAATGTAAGTTGCGACATCTGTTCATATTAGTCTTACATATTCTGTTTTCTGTAATTTTGAGTTTTTTTATTACTACTTTTGTTAGAATATACTTATTACAATTATATCTTAATGACTGCAATACTGGTTTCTGTCACAAAAAGAGAAAATAAAGGTGAAGACCAAAAAATAAGTTCAATATATATAAACAAACTGTATGTTAGTTTTTAATTTGCTAGGCAAGAGGAATGTGCTATACAATAATATAATTTAAAATGCTCATAAAATCCACAATAAATTTCCAATACTGTATATGTGAAAAATATACAACTTATGACCAAAGTGCTGTTTGACTTCAATATCTACAAACACTTTTGTATGAAATGTCCACACTTCAAGATAACTTATTCTTGCTTTAAAACAGTACATTATTTTTCCAGTCCAAATATAAAAATCAAATATATAAGAACTAAACAAAAATATTGTGAAACATACCTGGGCTTGTTTTTATACACTCCAAAGTGTTTATTTTAGTTAGATTTACACTATTTGTGCAGATGAAGTGAAATTCTCAAAATAAGCCTGAATATGTCTGTCATGGCTAGAATAACATTTATATGTTTCTGTTAAACATTTAGACTTCCTGCACTACAAATAAGTTAGTGTTACCTCTTTCTTAAACTTCCTCTTCAGTTATGTGACTGTGTAAGGCAGGAGTCCAGGCAGTTCTGGATATGTGAGTACTGTATATGTGTGGAACCAAGCAGACATAGGGACTTAAGCGTGTTAAAACCTTACTCTAAATATACAGTAGAAAAAGCATTCTGAAGTCTTTGACCTGCAGCCTAAATATATTATTTCCACACTAGTTGACCCCAAACAGAGATGGGTATGCAGAATATAGAATTGGTTTTCACTTTGGCAACCCTTAAATTAGGTATTTTCAATTGCACTCAGAATGCACTTGACTGGACACAGTTCATTTCTGAAAGAGGAACCTTAAACCAATTGAGAGGTTCAAACTTAGGCTGAATCTGGGAATATGTTTAGTCTTTGTGTTATGACAACACAGATTTAACAGTAAACAATGCTGTATTCAATGCAGCAAGTAATGCCTTTCCTAGCTTCGCTGTTGACTAACATTAGCTCTGTGCAATGCCTTCCATTTAGGTAAAGTTGAAATGTGAAGAAGGTACTGCATAGCTCCAGGATGTTTTATTAAGTTCATTAATAATGAAAACTATTTCCCTTTTTCCTGTCTGGCTGGGAATGTTAATGGCAGCATATGTTTTTGTCTCACCAGCAATCCCATGGAAGGTGTAACTACAACCCATTATTAGCGTAGAAAGGAGACACAGGTTTCATGGACACTGGGTCGTTCAAATGATTGATCAATCAAAAAATCAGCTATCGAATATTGTGATTAAAATAAAAAAACGTTTTTGGCACTTTACTATAAAATAGATATTGTGACACGATTATCCCCACAGATTTTGAAAGATAATTATTTCCACTAGATTAGTTAATGACCTTACAGAGCCTCAGAAGGTACGCCATAAAATCACCCTGCAATACTTGCCAACACTTTTATGTATTTCTGTGTATTTAATGTAAAACTAGAGGAGGTTAGTTTAAACCGAATACCATATATATTTAATATAAATTGAAAAAATATAAAAGGCCTACATTATATGAAACTATGTTATCATTTATTTGTCTCTGGAGGGGGGCGTGTTGCACAAAATCGATAGCGATAAACGTCCGTTGTGATGCAGTTTCAGTGAAGCCTAAACAGGCTTGAATTGCCTGCAGATGCATTTGACACACTGTGTGCTGCTGCGGGAGATGTTTGAGTTAAGCAGAGGAAACGAATAAGATTACCGCTACTGTCAAAGAGTTCGTTTTTAGGCAAGACTCTTTCAAGAACATAGTGGCCGATCGCTGCGACTGGCACATTAATTAGTATTGCGACATCTTTTTTATGCAAACCAGGTACCTCTAAATGTGTGTGTATTGTGGATCATACGTTTCAGAATGCATTCCTCTAGTAATAGCGCGGGTAGACTATAATCCTGCAATAGATGTTGTTAATTCTGAAACACAAATTTAGATGTAAACACTATAAATGCGAAGGTTCAATTTAAAAAACGACAAACGGAAAACCATGCTGTCTATAAAGCACTGTATATCACCGTATCAAACATTTTAAGTATAAAATGTGAGGATTTGGTATAAGAAATTGACTTCCAGTTTAACTGGCTACTAAAACACAAAAGGGTAGTGCAGTGGAATTATAATACTATCGCTGTAACAAAATGAGTAATTATTGACCCTCAAGCACTCCAATTGAATTTGAATCCAGTCTCGTTTTCTCACATGCAGGGTGGAGGATCTGCCAGATTGTGCTCTTCATGTGAAGCTTGCAACACAAGCCGAGAGAGGGCAAAAGGTACTTCCTGCCAGATAGTGAGTCCCAGGCTGGAAACGCTAGCAACAGGAGATACTGCAGCAATCTGGTTCTGGAAGTGAATGAAAGCACCTGTTTTTTTTCCGACGAAGGGGAACATTTCAGGTAACGCATTGTTTAAAGATTCTGTCAGATGCTGTCGGAATTTAGGTATGAAATAAAAACATTATTAGGATTTACGCTGTAGTTCAAGTGGTTCTGACTGTGTGCATGAAGATTCACTGCAGCAGCTGGTAGCACACATGCAATCCTCAAACAGGGATGCGGATCAGATGAGCAGTCGCAAACAAATTGTTTACTCGTTTATTAAAGCCGTTTTATCGATTTCAGTAGACTGGGAGTGGGTGGGTTAGAAAATGATAGCTTAGCAAAACGAAAGGTAGCGAGTTATGTATCATTACAACAGCTGCAAATAGTCTTGTACATAACCGAAGCAAGGGTTTATTGATTAACATAGCAAGGTGAATTAGAATGAGGTGAAGATTGTATTGATTTTAGATGTTTGAAACAATCCTTAAGCAGACGGATTTAGCAAAGACTTTAAACACTCCAGGTTGCAAATGTAATAGGGTTAGGATTTTGAACGGTCTCAGGTCGACTTCAGCTGCACTAGTTAAATGGGGAGACCATAGCTCGCTAATTGCTGAAGTGCCGTGTACTGTAGCAGTGAGATGCGGCTGATAGATTTTGGCAACCACCTTTAAGGTGTGTCCTTTCACATGGTCCAGAGAAGCTCTGCGAATTTTGAAAAAAGTTACTATGAAGTCAATTTTATTTATAGGCAAAGTTTTATGCCCCTATAATCACATGAGCTGTGTAAGTGAACGCAGGTAACTGAGGTACGTAAGCATGATCAGGGCAAGGTTATGCGACAGCAATACATTAAATGCCTCCAGAAACAAACAAAAAACCACCATTCATTCTAGAAATCTGTGCTATTAGAAATACTGAAGTCTGACAGAGACCAATTGCAAAGGTGCATGTAAAGAATTGTAACATTAAAATAATCTGTGCCAGTTCTTTAATTTCGGAAATCTTTGAGATTGTTGAGAACAGAAACTGTTATCTTCTTCTAGAAGAAAATCTGTAACTGAGATTTTGTAATTAACTGTTTTATGGTTTAGCAATAGCCTAAAAGCTGCGAGTGAAAGAAATGTGACTTGAATATGCTGTGGATTAACTTTATCAAGATAGTTAACTTGCTAGATTTACTAATTATAATGAGCTACAAGTACCTTTGCTTTCCTGTGTTTAACAACTACATTGAGATTTAAAGGGAAAGTAGATTTTCCTTCAGTTATACTTTTTAAAGAAGCATACTCCATTAATATGATCAATATTGGTAAGTAAAGGACATATGGACCTTTGTGGAAAGAGCCATGTCTTTTATGAGGACCCTTAATATTCCTGGGGTACCCTAATGAAGTACCCTTAATCATGTAAGCAGGTAAATGTCTTATGGTAAATAAGGTGTACTGATGTGGAGTCTGCACACAAAATGTTTAGGTCAGATGTTGTATCTTCTCATTAAACCGTGTATTTGTAATTCCACACTTTGTGTAACAGTAGGGTGTTTACATAGCAAACATCCTGTAGAAAGTGTGATAGGTTCCTGTGAAGGACTCAGACCAGCAACTTCATAATAGCAGATAACTACATGTTCTGAGGTTATACCAATGTATGAGAAAACACGGTCTTTCTAAGTGGACATGGGGATGTTGTGTTGCCTTTATAACTGTGTTGATTTAATAAAGACCTAGTAGGGCTTTGAGTCTACAAACAGTATAGCCAATTAAAATTATTATTCTGATGTACATAAGATGAAGAAAGGCTCTGCTTGATTTGCTATCTAAACCTTCCAAGGCTTTGGAAGCATCTACATTATATAGACCTATATGTGTATAAATATGCATTTACACTGTATGAAAGATACAGCAACAGAATATGAATTTTACATTACGTACTGTAAGTACATGTACCATTCCTTAAAAGTGGAAAGAGACAAGAAAAAGTTATAGCAACTATATAAAACTGGGCAATTTACCATGGTGCTATTCTTCTGGAATCTTTATTTAATTACATTTGATTTGTAAAGGAATGGTGTGGGCAACCGACATGGAAAAAACAAATAACTGCATAAAGCAGAGAGGCTTCAGATCATTTTGCTTAGGGAGTTTTATTGTCTCATGCATGAGGGTGTTTTCCACTATTAATAGAGTTTTGGTAATCTGAAAATGTTTTGCAGTAAGATCTTAAGAATGTATGAATCTAGCCCAACAATTCTGTGAGGTCAGCCTGTGATTGATGCTCTGCAGTGAATTCTGTTGGCAGATACAAACCAGCTGCAGGCAGCTACTCTTACTTATCAAGTTGGGACTACTAAGAATCCTGTGTGGGGTGTATTTATGGACTTTACCATATAATGTGTACTGTATAATTATTCCTTCAACCAAAATATCATTTTTATTTTAAAATGCTCTGTTTGGAAGTGTTTCTGCTTTATTAAGCAGAATGTTCCCTTCTAGGATACATCTGAAGCTCCCTGACCTTGTAAAGTCACAGTGGTACTGAAGATGTCTTTGCGCCAGAGCCAGTGTGCATTCTCTGATTGCAAATGTAGGCCTACTCGTCCCTTCTGCATAAAATGAGATTATTGCAGTGATATTGCAAGTCGAGACTCTTTAGAGCATCCAAACCTCCTGTGCCTGGAGGCTGGCCTGTTGACTTAGTAGATTTGTATGCTGCTTGCGTGGGCAGCATGAGTTGGGCACTTTGAGGTGTTGGAGAGATGGCACATCAAATGCATGGTCTGTCAAGGCACACTAAAGGGAGTACTGTAACAAAAAGGCAGAGAGGGTTTCTTTTTTATATTTGAGCACACCCCTATTATGAGCTCAATTTGCATGGTTGCTATAAAATCTCATTACTTCATTGTTTTTGATGGGACATATGTAGGATCTGATCATAAAAGTGATTGTTCACATATAGTAGGTGTGTTAGGCGTAAACCTTACAGTGTTTGAATAATTAAGCATATGGACATGTAATGCTGGATTTAGTTATAGTGCTGTTATTCAGGTGAAATTATTTTCCCAGGAGTCTGTTCTATTAGTCACAAATATTTAATATGGTTTGAAAAAGAACACGTTATTAAATTAGTTTATGCACAAAGTATTGTTGAATACTTTCAGTGCTTTGCGGTCTCAATAGAAGGGGATATATTGGAAAACACTATCATAACCTGCTTGTATCCAACAACAATTGTAAATAACAGCAAGACACAATTGGAATAAATGAGGCACATTGTTAACGCACATTAAGCTCTGCACTGTGAAATCCAGTACTTTGCACAAGTGGTACTTCTGTTTATGTGAAGTGGAGCTTTTTCTTTTGTCTAAAGGACAGGTGTATCAGTTTCGTTTTTCGGTCTACATTGGCAATATTTAGTGAAAGACAACATCTTATCTTTTGCATATTTAGCCAAATTTATTAGCACAATACTTACAGTGCCTCTACTGCTTGTGCTTGGGAGTGAAATCATGTTAGTCATACAGTATCTATTCCCAAATTAAAAAGGTGTTAATTCTGCAACTATTTTCAATGGCCTTGCTGATGATAGATAATTACACTGAGATCTGGCACCAACATTTCTAACAGAACTTGGCACAGACACTCTCTTTAGGGAATGACAAACTGATGTCAAGTCACATAGTAGGGTGTGAGAAACTTGGGTACTTGAGCAACGTATTTCCATATCTGCATGGCTAGGTGATTTTAGAGGGATTTCACTTTCAGTAGGTTCTGTCTTTAGTTTCCACTCAGAGCCTCAAGGCAGTGATTACAAAACTCTTACTGTCTTTAGTTCAGGGTTAAGGGTTACAGTGACCGGGGAAAAGTAATCTTCTGTAGTCTTCTGCAAATAAGAATATTTTCATGGCATTGATCCAGAAGTTGGCCATTGTGTTGCAAGATAAAGTCGTAGTCTGGGTTACAGAAGTGGCCTGGAGATACAGGGACAGGCTGATTGTTAAAAAAAAGAACTGTTGCATCTGACTAATTTGAGGTGAGGACTGTGGATAAAATGATTTGAGGTTGGGGAAAAGAGGCTGCGATTTAGGACTACTACTAAATTGCCTAAATTCACATTTTGACAGACAATGTGTCTTAGTTTATTCCTAGTGGTGAGACTTTTGCCTGCTTTGACAAACCCAGCTGCACATTGGCAAAGGAAAAAGCAACTTTTCTGTTGATTTTGTTTAATGGTTAACTAACTGCTAGGGACAAAGTACACTGCAATTTATGCTTTAGCTTCAGGTCTACATATTTAATAAATCATAAGTGGGCGGCACAGTGACGTAGTGCGGTTAGCATTGCTGCATCGCAGCACTAGGGCCTGGTTTCAGTTCTAAAGATGCCGTCTTTGTGGAGTTTGTATGTTCTCCCTGTGCTTGTATGGGTTTCTTCCAAATGCTCCAGTTTCCTCCCACAGCCTAAAGATGCACTGCAGGTTAATTGGCTTCTGGGAAAACTGGCCCTGGTGTGAGTGTGTGTGTGTGTTTGTGTCTGTGTGTGCCCTGCAATGGACTGGTGTCCTGTACCCTACCTTGGTCCCTCTTGTTTGCTGCGCCCAGGCTTTGGCTCCCCGGCGACCTTCAGTTGGAAGAAGTGTTAGAAAATGGATGGATAAATTAAAAGCAATTCAAAATGTTATCCAGAATTGTTCCTTGAACAATATTTTCTTCATTTTCTACACACCCAATTTCAAACTAGCGATTTTTTTTTTTCGCGGCAGGAGAGCTATTGCTGTACTGCACAAGTGGGAAGTTATGCACTTCTAACCCACTCACCATGAGGGACATACTTCACTGTTTGACGAGCTGCAAGCTTTACAGTGTCTTAAAGGAGAGTTGGAGCTGACTGCATTGAGTGCCTGTCTCTCTTGTGAGTTGAGAGTTCTTACTTGGATTTTGGTGTTTATAGCT